TCTTATTTTAATGTGAATCAATGCTATGGCGTGTACTTATTACAGACCACCAATTAAAAAAACATACCTGCCTCATAGTTTTTGGGGGCGATAAAAAAAGAAAGACGCGTGCCTGCCTCATTAACTTTTTTTTTAATTGGCCTGCATGAGAAACGAACAATTAATTTTGTTTGGCTATAGTTGTTACAGAGTAGGCCTACGTGGCAGGATTTCATACATAATTGTCCTCACAATCATTGGGTGAATAACGGGCGTACGTATAAGGTGAATATACCGTAAGTATATCACGGTTCTTTTGGATCTGGTAAGTATTAAAATAATCAGAATAATCGAAATATGATTTTGACATACCTCACCGCGTGACCGATATTGTAATACTATTCCCAACCGTAGGGCCTATATATATATAACTATATACCTACGTTCACAAACACACACGAGGACTCATTTGCACAGCCACAATAATACGTACGCGCACATGCACACTCACAGGCTACATAGGAAATGCACATGTAAACTCACATACATGCCCACACACACGTACACACCCACACAAACGCACACACATGCACGCGCGTTCGCATACATGTTTTCGAAAAGGCATTGCCTTAAATTTTTACTCGCTCTCGTATACTTGCTTACACGTCGAAACGAGATCAGGAGACATTCTAACCAGGATTATCGCATGATTGGGCTATATCGTGACATTTTAGCTAATTAACCCGATTATGTTGTGTTGAGATCAGAAGACATTCTAGCCAGGATTATTGCATGATTGGGCTATATCGTGACATTTTAGCTAATTAAACCGATTATGTTGTGTTCTTACCAGAAATATATTTGTAAGAAAAACGTGTTTATATATATAGTTACTAATATGGCTAAATACATCACCAAACACATATCCGAAAGGAGTGATGTTAAATGAGCTAAAAATGAAAAACCACTTTAAATACAGTTATTGTGTGAATGCTGATTGCTTGCTATATAAGCTATGCATGCAGCGCAATTGTACATTTACGTCTATAAGCTACGGTTATTTTAACTCACGTTGTGGCAGCCAATGTCCGGGTGCGCGGGCCATAGCCACGGCAGCAAGAGCGAAGAGAATAACGGCTTTCATGATTGCTGGTGAAGCTCTCTGTAGGTAACCGTACGATTTTCGCTGTTCAACGTAGCATAATATACTCCACTCCCAATCAGTTGTACGCTCAGGAGATAAGATATATAGATGGGAAACGGTCCAGTTGTCTCTCCCATCTATGTGTTTTCACCTCATCTCATACAATACTTATTTTATAGATCGGTTTCACTGAGTCATTTACAAGAGAATGTCTAGTCATTATCGCATGACAATTTGGGTGACGGTTTTTGTGCCTGTATGACTCCATATAACATTTACGATTTTACGGCGACATTTGTACAGCGATTAAAGCGGTAGTTTTACAATTTCTAGTATTTTTTATTTAAATGCACCATGATATGGATGAAATTGCACGGTCCCCGAGAAATATCAGGTTCATATTAATAATCGTCGAATAACGAGTTCGAACATGAATTCAGCGCACGCAACTATAAATTGGTAACAGATACGGAAATGTTCGTGATATTTAAAATTAAGATATTTCGTATAAATGTACCCGTATGTGTGTGTGGGGGGGGGTGCAGGTAAGCGTGCACGTGTCCGTCTACAACACAAGTGTTTGTATATACCGATAGTTATAGGCTGGTCTCTGGTTAACGTGTGTGCGAATTGCATGCATACGAAGATGGGTGAATGGGTAATGATAATTTAAAAGAAAAATTATGGCCCCTATTTGACTGCGCGACTGTTTCCTACGCACAAATGTGGTGTCCGTGAGTAAATTCGCGATCATTTTTTTAAAATCGCCGGTAAAAAATATGACCAAACTCATATGGAACACAGCTGAAGTACGTGGCTATCTAGCTTTCATAGTACCACGCGAAAGTCAAACAGTCCAACAGTCGAAATAATAATTTTCGGTTCCTGAATTTCAATTCTCAAGTAGGTGATCCTCTGGGGGATTTATTAGTTGTGTGCTCTCTGTCAGACTGAATTTTTTTCGGCAATTTTCACATTTTCGCATATTAATAACCTGCGCGTGTGGGACAGTTTATTTTCACTTGTCTTTTCATGCCTACTGCTGTTCTGAATCAGAAAACGTATATCATACCACTCAGCCTAGCTGACTACCAGCAGCATTGTGAGTGTGGATGCTCCTTGTGAGCAATTATTATAGCTTTTCACTGTAACTGGATCGTCTTTACGTGAAACTTTAGGAATTTCATGCAAATTCAATAGACATTACAACTCCAGTCTGGTTCCCGTTGGCACATTAATCCATTATACCGTTATTAGTATGTTTCTCAATGTTTCTCTAAAATAATCGTTATATGTTGAATGTAATATAGAGTATAAAATAATTAATACTCTGAAGTGTGGGTTTGTAGATTTCTGATTCATTTTATTGTATAAAAATTTATTTTGTACGTTATAACATATAGTATAATGGTTTGAAGATAATGTTAATTTAATTTTTAATGTGTTGCTGAAAATAGTTGTATAAGCATAGTATAATGAAATTATTGATAAAATATATAAAAATGATAATACACTATAAATTTAAATCCGCACTTCAATGACAATGGTTACGAAGGAAAGACTGAATTCAATTTTTCCAATTGGTTTCATAATTTTATAACCGGATGAGGGATTGAAGTATCTTATGTTTTTACAGATGTGTAGATTTCATTCCGTCCAAAGTACATGCATATTTAGACTTCATATTTTGCCTTATATGTTTGCACTGACATGTATTTATTGAAGCAGACGCTTTACTGTGTAATGTAACACGTTGATTATTTTAGTCATGTAGGAGACAATACAGAACAGAGGTTATTGCTACGTCAGCCACTTCACGGGCTATACAACCTCGGAATACTGAGAATTCAGACGCATACAGTAGACAATGAGTCAATGACAAGGACCTTTCGGCGGCTTCTGCCAGTGATGGTGAAGCGTTGTGTACATTCTGTTGCCACGTTTTTATGAATAAATTTGTGCGATCGAGTAAACTGACTGTGAACAGATGAAGTCTTACCGGTTTCTACTCTTTATCCTCTCGATTGTTCTGCTTTTGTTTCGTGAATCAAAAGAAATTGCACGGTCCCCGAGAAATATCAGGTTCATATTAATAATCGTCGAATAACGAGTTCGAACATGAATTCAGCGCACGCAACTATAAATTGGTAACAGATACGGAAATGTTCGTGATATTTAAAATTAAGATATTTCGTATAAATGTACCCGTATGTGTGTGTGGGGGGGGGGGGTGCAGGTAAGCGTGCACGTGTCCGTCTACAACACAAGTGTTTGTATATACCGATAGTTATAGGCTGGTCTCTGGTTAACGTGTGTGCGAATTGCATGCATACGAAGATGGGTGAATGGGTAATGATAATTTAAAAGAAAAATTATGGCCCCTATTTGACTGCGCGACTGTTTCCTACGCACAAATGTGGTGTCCGTGAGTAAATTCGCGATCATTTTTTTAAAATCGCCGGTAAAAAATATGACCAAACTCATATGGAACACAGCTGAAGTACGTGGCTATCTAGCTTTCATAGTACCACGCGAAAGTCAAACAGTCCAACAGTCGAAATAATAATTTTCGGTTCCTGAATTTCAATTCTCAAGTAGGTGATCCTCTGGGGGATTTATTAGTTGTGTGCTCTCTGTCAGACTGAATTTTTTTCGGCAATTTTCACATTTTCGCATATTAATAACCTGCGCGTGTGGGACAGTTTATTTTCACTTGTCTTTTCATGCCTACTGCTGTTCTGAATCAGAAAACGTATATCATACCACTCAGCCTAGCTGACTACCAGCAGCATTGTGAGTGTGGATGCTCCTTGTGAGCAATTATTATAGCTTTTCACTGTAACTGGATCGTCTTTACGTGAAACTTTAGGAATTTCATGCAAATTCAATAGACATTACAACTCCAGTCTGGTTCCCGTTGGCACATTAATCCATTATACCGTTATTAGTATGTTTCTCAATGTTTCTCTAAAATAATCGTTATATGTTGAATGTAATATAGAGTAAAATACTCTGAAGTGTGGGTTTGTAGATTTCTGATTCATTTTATTGTATAAAAATTTATTTTGTACGTTATAACATATAGTATAATGGTTTGAAGATAATGTTAATTTAATTTTTAATGTGTTGCTGAAAATAGTTGTATAAGCATAGTATAATGAAATTATTGATAAAATATATAAAAATGATAATACACTATAAATTTAAATCCGCACTTCAATGACAATGGTTAAGAAGGAAAGACTGAATTCAATTTTTCCAATTGGTTTCATAATTTTATAACCGGATGAGGGATTGAAGTATCTTATGTTTTTACAGATGTGTAGATTTCATTCCGTCCAAAGTACATGCATATTTAGACTTCATATTTTGCCTTATATGTTTGCACTGACATGTATTTATTGAAGCAGACGCTTTACTGTGTAATGTAACACGTTGATTATTTTAGTCATGTAGGAGACAATACAGAACAGAGGTTATTGCTACGTCAGCCACTTCACGGGCTATACAACCTCGGAATACTGAGAATTCAGACGCATACAGTAGACAATGAGTCAATGACAAGGACCTTTCGGCGGCTTCTGCCAGTGATGGTGAAGCGTTGTGTACATTCTGTTGCCACGTTTTTATGAATAAATTTGTGCGATCGAGTAAACTGACTGTGAACAGATGAAGTCTTACCGGTTTCTACTCTTTATCCTCTCGATTGTTCTGCTTTTGTTTCGTGAATCAAAATGACATGTCAACAATCTGGATGTGTGTTTACGCAAAGTAGTCAACAAGTTGAACGAAACAGAAATTGCACAGAAAAGTTTATTTATTTTTGAGGAATATTCGCATTAATTCGCCAAAAATCAGATCTCATAATTACATTAATATGAACCATTGTATTTTAATCATTGCTTCTTACTTCATTGAATTAGAATCCAATACATGCATGATACCGAAACAGTGGGGTCACCGTCAAGCGCCGATGACGTCAGACGCGATAAAGTGTTAACGACTTAACAGTTATGGTGACAGAGTGGCGACGGCCTCCATGATCCATTGGTAGTAGTAAGAGGTGCGGGCATATACGGCAGGATAGCCGGTAACCTGGCAGACACCGGTCCCCCAGGATGTGACTCCCACCAGGGTTGGCTCACCGTTCTAGATCACCCACAGTAGGTCGCCGCTGTCACCCTGCAAGTGAGTCGAAGAACAAGTGAACGAGCGGTAGAGGAGATGTTTGCTGAGTTTCCGGTGCTTGCATCGGCGTAGCGGGACTATTAATTTGCAGTGTTCTATGGAAATCAATTACAAGAAACATGAAAAGCCTGGTTTTATTACGTTCTCATTCAAGCTAGATCATTATCCATCACAACTCGATGGTCACTCAGACTCGGTCTCTCAGACTCGCTCACTCAGACTAGATGGTCACTTACATTGCATGGTGTCTGCTCTCCCTGTCCGGAGCAGATCATTCTTTTGGAAGCAATGGACACGTGGACGGAGGCCTTAAGTCACAACGTCCCAGTCGACATCCTGTTCCTGGACTATTCAAAAACATTCGACACGGTGCCCCATGTCAGACTCTGCAAGCAGATTGAGGCCTTTGGTATTAAGGGAAATCTAATCAGCTGGATCAAGGTTTTTCTAACAGGTAGAAGACAAGGAGTGATCGTCAATGCAGCGTCATCCTCTTGGAGCCCAGTCACCAGCGCTGTACCCCAAGGGTCTGTATTGGGCCCACTACTATTTACACTTTTTGTATGTGACATCCCTAGGATAATAAGAAACCTCTGGTCGCCCGTTGCCAACGACACCAAAATCTACGCAACCCTATCTGACAGCCATAATCCAAGCACAAACAGCCTCCAACAAGGCGCCAACAAGGCACAACCTCCAAAGGTGGACGAATGATATGCGGATAAAACTACACCCAGCTAAATGCAAATCCATGCACCTAGGTAAAACAAATCTTCTCCGAACATATACAATAATCAACGAGGACGGTACAACACACCAAATGCAGCACACCAAGGAAGAGAAGGACCTAGGAGTCACAGTGGACGACAGATTAACCTTTTCAACCCATGTCCAACCTATGCCCAACCCATGCCCAATAATATGCCACAAAACGATGTTCCACCCAACGCTTGCCACCCAAACTCGAGGTCACCCCTATAAATTCCAAGTTCACCACACCCAAGGCCAGCGACACAGCTTGTTCGCAACTATAGAGTACTGAAACACGCTCAAGACTGAGACAGTTTGTAGCACCACACTGAATGCTTTTGAAGGAACGGCTTACCAGGGAGTGGCAAACCAGACCGTGCCTGCATGTACCAGTACCGTTTTTCCTACTGACTACTATCTCGCACAGGCACACCAGTGATTATTACAGACATATACTTACACGAAACAGGAACATGAACAGTTATCCCAGCCTTATACGGTCTCAATACCTTAACCGGTAAATATTGACCGATCATAAGATAACTCATAAGATAAGGTAACTTAAAGAGACAATGATGGCGGCGGATGGCGACAGATCTCGAAATAACGCCTTGGGAAATAAATTCACGATTTGAGAGTTTCGATGAGCTAGAAACACTCGGATTAGGTATGAAAATGACTATTATTGTAAACTTTACATCAGAAGATCGCAAATAATTGCCTCAGCCCTCAAACAAACGCCAAAAAGGGGCTTCAACGAACGGCCACAGGTCCCAAAGGGTCATGCAGTATAACCGTGGTTGAATTATAAGCTTTGACGCGGTGAGATGGGATATGCAAGGGAACTGGATATGGCAGACACTCATTATGGATTAGGTGCGTTTATAAATTTCTTGTACAAATAATCACTGATCCCACATATTGCGCATTTATATACCTGTATTTATTCAGATTGAATGTTTTACATTTTAAACGTTTGAATCGCCGAAACTCTCAAAGTTTTGTTTTTATTGCATAATTATGAACCAGCGCGCGAAGGGATGATTTGAATAGGAAAAAAAACAGAAATATCCCGAAACGATACGTCAATACTTTAACAATAAAATGAACACTTTCAGAAAACTACCTATATGGATAACGCTATCCCCATTAATTTTAATGAAACATTTCAAGTAACAGAGTCGATCTGGTGTAAAACTGCATGAGCATTCAGGATGACCTTTATGTCTATGTGCACGACATATACGATAAAAAAAAGTTGAGCCTATATGAATAACAACCATATAAATATAT